TCCCATTTATGATGTTTTAGGGTGCTAATGAAGTGCAAATGCTCTTAACCTTCCCACAGTTTTGTGAGGAACTGTTTTCCAGGAATTATTCCATCATTCACACCCTAAACTGAGAAGTCCTCTTCAGAAGAGAAGGAGAGGAGATAAATCTCACATTTATGGTACAAAACCGCACGCATTTGGCCAAAAAAACTGCCCAGATGCCAATAGTCATGTAGTTCTTTAGAAAATAAAAGCAGTTTTGCACAGGTGGCTTGAATAACTGTGAGAAGTGTGAAGACTGTTTTCGAAATTGCATACAGATTTGGCTCCTACATGCACGTTAAATGAAAGAAAACTTACGTCCCCTTCAAAAACCATCTCAAATTCTTCTCTGTTTTTGATTTTAGTGTAGAGATATTCTGCCAGCTCCAGGCATTTGTTGATCTGATTTTCAAATCCTACTGTACCCTTTTAAAAAAGAAAGTAAGTATTAATTATATGGTCATTTTTCCTCCTCCAATGCAATTATCTTTTCAGATAGGCTTCACTCTTAAATGTCTTCAATCAGAAAACATTTAACAGTATTATTTCTTGTAACTTAAAAGTAAAGTTAATCAACACTGACTAAATGTGGCCTGACTGCAATCACTGTTTAGTTTTGTTCTCATTTTAAGAGAATTTATTATGATAATAACAAGGGCTTTTGATTTTTTTAATAGATTATTTTTAGCTCTTTTTTTCACTTTCCAAAAGTACTACGAATATTAAGTCTTGGCTTCCCAGCTCTCACTGAAAGACGAGGAACGTGGAATGGGAACTCAGTTGAAAGAGTAAGAGTTGGGAAGTCATTTATTTCCTCTGAACAGTTTGCTAGAAATTTGCATTTAAAAAAGTCAGCAAGCAAAATCCTGCAATATGTTTGCTAAAAGTCATTTGCCTACCAACTGATCTTTTGTCATATTCGATTTGTTTTGAAAGATCATAATCCCAATAAAGTAGATGAATGTTGATAATAAATAAAATAAGAAAAAAAAAGTTGTGGGGTTTTTTTTAAAGTACACTTTGTACATGAATGAAGAAGTAAGAAGGACAAGCACACTCTTAAATTATTGCTTATTTGGGGTAAGTTCGTAAGTTCTTTGTACTGAATAAAATGACTGAAGGTAAAGTCACAAGAACAGTTTTGGACCTAGGCTGTGTATTTCTATTATGAGGACAAGAGTATGATCACTCATGATGGCTAATGCTGAAGGAAAAATTTCCATAGCTCCTGATATTTTGTTTTCTTAACATTTTTGTAATATAATCGTTCAATCTGCTAGAAACAGGCTCCATCCAATACCTCAGAGAACTCAGGTCCAAGAAATCTGAATCTGTCAGACCAAACAGAAACCCAAAGTAACAAATTTCTGGAGAAATTTAAATTCCAGATATACAGATCAACTCACCAATTTTAATCTGTAACATTTTTAAAGAATCACGTCCACAAATATCTTACTTCCAAATTTTAAATATGACCCATATCCACTATGGTTTCCACTATATTTTTTTTCTTTATTGTGAAGTGCTCTACTTCTTTAGTGAGGTGAGTTTAACAGATGATTGTAACAGCAGAGGTAGAATCAGCATGCTAGTTTTAACAAAATATGTATTCAGAAAAACATTCGGTCCATGCTTTAATGGTGTCAGCACTTGGTAATTAGAACCATAAACAACACATTTCAAAGATGCTAGTCACAGTCCGATTCTAATGTGTCATAAGCAGTTTCATGTTACTGGATTACAATCAAAATTATTTATTTTGGAGGAAGAACTGAGTCTGAACTGAAATGTACTGATCCTGGTAACCAAACCTATGCTGATTACTAAAGCAATTGTTGTAAGTATTTTGTGTTGAAGTGTTTTGTTTCTTTTTCTGAAGTACTTTTAAAAATAAACAATGACAACTCTACCATCTGTTTAAAAGTAACTGTATATCTAAAGTTCTGTTATTTTCTTCCCTCAGTCTTCAATACTGAGGAACTCTGCATGAAAACATCTTTTATCATAACAGATTATTTACTATTGCTATCTAACTCTCACCCAAAGTGAAAACCATTTTATGATTTTGGCATTGAATGATTTTGGCATTGAATTTCATCTCAGTTTTACAAAAAAATATTAGACCGTGGACAGGTTACCCAACTGAATTCCCATTTTTTCAGCATAGGGCAACAAGAATAGTAATAAGATGATTACAGGTAAAGAAATAAAAATTAAATGTGTTTTCTTGACTACATGGACCCTCATCTTGCGAACACATAAGCCTATTATCTAAGCCCATGCTTAAATTCAGCCATCCAGGCATATCACAGTAGTACCAGGGAATCAACTGTTAAATCATCAGTTGGGCAAAGCTTCTTAAGAAAAAGGCTTTGTTTTCAAAGTTGCTTATAAAATCTGTGCATTGAAACGTGATGCTTAAAGGACCCTTGTAAATCACCAAGTCTACCCTACTGCTACTACACATAATCTGCCATAAAATACATATGTAACTGTATACTAGTCACAACAAAAGACCATTTCAGTGTCCTGCCCTCACTGATTTTACTGCAGGACTCATCTAGTGACTTAAACCTTTCTTCTAAATTCCAGCTGAATTTATTGATGGCTACTGTTGTTCTATGGCTCTTTTCTGACAATATTCAGATACCTGTGTGTTTAAAGATTGTAATTACACAAACATTTATGTCAAAAAAAGTGTTCCATTATATGAGACTTACAAATTAAATAAATACATTTCTGATTTTTGAGCTGATTTTTTTAATTATTTACCTTTGCCTTCCACATCAACCAGAATTTGAAAATGTCCACATGTCGACCACACTGTATTGCCTTATCTCCAGTGTCATAAGATACATCATACTGTTTGTCTTGCTGGAAGAGATAGCCTGCACACATTTGATTGCAGCCTTGAAGTATGCCCTGTAATGAAAAACATGCACTTATATAACTTATATGGCATATGTGCATATGAAACTGTATGCATTAATGACATATAAAAATGTACTTCAAATATACAGAGAAGACTTGCTCTTTAATGGGCCAAATTATAAAATACTGACCTTGCTTTGTAAACCTGATCCACAAAAATCATTTCATAACCTAAGAGGGTTCTTTTACAAGTCCCTGAGTAGTCATATGGTTTTACACACCCACACCTGAAAAAACACTCTCAGGTTAATTTGGATTACTAGTGTTTGGTACTAATTTTGTCCTCTTCACTCGGTAAGGCTATGTTCTTAAGACTTAAATTTTTGATGTGTTAAAGTACACACTAGAATAAAGCTGTGGTTTCTCAGTGCAGCAGATAGCTACAGAAAATGAAAGGAAAAAAAGTAATTGAACACTTCAACTTTATGTATTGTCCAGCTTTTTGAAAATTAACATCAGTGATAAATATAAGTACAAATTACCTAAGCCAGTCATTTTTGCTTACAAGTAAATATGGTCCACAGACCAATAGAAACCTACAGATTACTGGTAAATATCTCCGAAGGAAACAGAGGAGCAAATTCCTGTATGTTACACAGAAATCTTATATATGTGACATTTGTAAAGTGGTTTTCATCTCCTTTAGAGTTTATTAGTGGTTCTTTGAAGAAGCTTGAAGACACTGGCATATGACAAATACAAAAGCACTTATCAAAGTTCTTGTATAGAGAATAAAACATTTTGCCAAAATCCTGCAATACTTAGCATGATAAGCACGCATGCCACTAATTAACGGCTAGTGCTTCCCTGCAATAGATGTTTTATAATGGGAAATAAATTCTGCAGCCTTCAGTTTAGAAATGGGCTACCTGTAAGAGCAACGGCAGACCTAGGACTGAAACCCATGACTCCTACATCCCAGTTCTATGCAAAGGGACCACTTCTTCAACTAACCTCTTCTAGAAGCAATTGACATGCCAGAAATTAGTAGGCAATAGAATTAATCTTATCCACAAATGACATGAGTTCTTTTTTCTATCATCTAAGGATTATACATATTGCTTAAAAGAATTAAGACACTGGTCTTGCTTTTATTGATGACAATAAAGAATCTAGAAGAAAGCACTAAAGATAAATATGGAGTCATAATAAAAGCAACATGGTTTATTTTCAACAGAACTGAGAAACTTTTAAACCAATGTGTAAGGTAAAAAATGTTGATTTTTATTTGAGCAGTTTAGACTGTGACCAATTACCAAGACCAAGGCTGTATTCAGTATCATATCAGTATACCACAGAAACAATGGGACAGGTGGTCAGACAAAGTATATTAGTATGGCTCTAGTGTTGTTATTAGAATATGCAAAGATTCTATAGCTAAAGATCTGACCCATATTGTCTACAGCTTTACAAAAAAACCCAAAACACAAAAACCTCAAACGCAAAAAAACCAGAAAAGATAAAACAACTTCCTAAACACAGTGTAAATTCACACAATCATTCCTTCCAAAAGAAGTTTTGAAATTAAATAAATTTTGCACTACCCTATTAAAAACTAAGGCTTGATATTTACTTTTTTTTTTAACTGTTTAATTATTAAGTATAAGGCAGACCTTCTCCCGGACAAGAATGGCAGAACATTGTAACAACACTCCCATCATCTTGTGTGGATTCCAAGTGACTGAGTTGGCTCTGCAAAAAAATTACACATTCAGATAGATATGGAAAACAGAAACTTAACCTGAAGCAATCACCTTTGTTTTCTGCTTTCATCTGGAAATGTATGGAGTTTTGACCATGATGATTTCACTATGGAGATTATTACTGTCTCAAGTGTCTTCTTTCCCAGCTATACTATCCAGGAAAGGAATTTTTCGTGTGTTAACATCGCAATGTCAGACTTAACGATAAGTTTATATTATTACTAATACCAGCTCATTAGTGTCGGACTATGCTGATTAGCTGATATAGTAACTTCACCCCCAGAAGACTCCATTTCTACAAATAGCACTAATAAAACTAACCAAAACAGTTTGACAGATTATATCAATTGAAGGTACTGATTTCCAGGGGGCAAGGGGTGTCAGAGAATTAAGGGAATAATATGAATTCTGGGGCAATGCCAGTTCTTTACTGAACACCTGCTGGAAAAGTAGAAAGCAAAGGAAAAGACACTCCTCATGCTTACCTGCTTTTCACTTAAAGGCCTTTTCTGTACTAGCTTCTCCAGCCATGGACCGTTAAAAGGCTATAAAACTTTACATCATAATCCTACCATTCTGTATGTAAACCTTAAATCTTTTTACATGTAAGCACAGGTGGATGCACAAGATCACCTAATTTACTAGCCAAACAGATGAGATGTTCCATATTTTTAACATGTATCTTAGACAGTTTAACGATGACACTAAAATAAATGTGCCAACATTGCACATCCATTGACCTCTTCACCCTAAGTAATTAATTACTAAATGTCCCCTTGATTCACAGTGTGTTCCAGAGAAGAAAGTGCATAATCATATTTCACAGCCTATGCATATGTTCTTACAACATGGTTGAAAGAAAATTCAAAGATATTTCCTCCTCTTCTACACCCTGCTCTCAGAGGACACAGACACAACTACAGTTCCTCTGTTTTGAGCAACACAATGACTTCTTCACCCCAGTCTGAAGACTGCTAATTCCATAAAGATTCCAGACACAATTCCAATGTCCGTCTGTGCTAGGTTAGACACCCCTCAGCCAAAAGAACAGTGCAGCCTGTGCTGCACCTGGGGAGCTCACCATCCCTCTAAAACCTCCTGCTTAGGCGGTGCAAACCAGCAGGTATATAGGTCAAACTTAGGAAGCAATTATCTTTTAAAAAACTTGACTAGTAGTTCAGATGGAGTAGTCAAGAAACAACAATTTACGTAACAGCTCATTTCCTTTTGAGACCGCTATGGTTTCAGCTTCGCACATTTATTTAACTTTCAGGGTTCCAAACAAAGATAATTTCAAGTTGTTTTCGCAAGGAGCATTTGGTTTATTTTAACATGAAGACGCTGCTCTCCTCCCTGCACAGCCAGCCAGCCAGCGGCTATCCTACCACAGGCAATCCCCGCTCTGCACCGTGGCAGCGTGCCAGTCCTTACAGTCCCATGCCTCCGGGCAGCCCAAATCCGGCCCGAGTGTGAGCAACAGACCCCAGCTGGGGCCCGTGGCAGGCAATTACGCAGGACATGTGGGCCCCGACCCGTGTTTGAAGATCCATACCGCTGACTAGAAAAGAAATAATATCATGCTTTGTGTCTGCTGCTTTCTGTATTTGCTTAAGATGACGGTCTTAATTAGCACCTCTGGGTGGACCTCAGGTCAAGAGAAGTGTGCCAAACTACTGTGACCAAACCTGTGTAGCTTAAGGTAATTATTTTTCGATGCTGACCTCATATTAGACATGTTGCCGTAACATGAGTGAATTGCAAATTGGACTGGGCAGAGGTTGATATGATTTGGCTACCTCAGAGTACTCCTGCCATACTACACACTGCTGTCCCTGTGACAGAAGGGTCCACATGGTTTTCCTGCCAGTCCTTCTGTACATTATTTTTTATCCTGTACTTGTTCTTCACTTACTGTATGATGAGATGCCCACCACTAGGAAAGTTTGTTTTCCCTAAGGAAGAACATTGCTCACTGTTCTCATTTTATGCCTTTACACAGTGCCCACTTTCAGCACAGTTGACTCAAGGAAGCAATTTGGGACTAATTTGAGAGTACATGGGTAGAGCAAAACATTTTTTGCTTCCCTGAAAGCTGATATTTGCAGTGATGGGAAAGATCCCGTGTTTCTGGTTCTCCACTGCTTTTCTGATTTTTATTCTAGATGGGCAGCCTTTTATAACAGAGCAGTTTCAGAGGAAATCTAGAGATGCACACATCCATGGGGTTATAAACAGCATCTTCTACAGACTACAGCCTTGTCATTGTTGGATATGGGAACATCTGTGCCAAAGACTACACACAGGACTCCTCCTGAGTCTGAATTGTAAGGGCTAGGGGGACGGTCATGCTCTCACTCTGCTATCACTATCAAATTCTTCGCCTTTTTAAATTTGGTTCAATTAATTGTTTAATAAAGGCTGGCTTCTGGTCTCAGTGGGCATCTTGGTAACCTGGGTTATGTGCTTGGGTGTACACACGCACTCTTTTCTGCAGACTTCACTGTGGCCTCTACAAGAGCTTCCTGCTTGTTTCATATAATCACCCCATGGCACCAACTCATAGGCCCCTTTACCCTGAGATGCAGTGAGTATCTGTAACTCTTCCAGGCATCCCTGTAAATTCCCTAAGTCTTCTGTCTGGCACTGTAGAACTGTACCAGCTCTGTGCTATCATAGTCCTTTCCAGCCTTATAGGTACTGAAATTTGCCCCTAAAAATCACTGCTAATTCAGTCTCTACCATGTGTTCCTCTCTTTGTTTTATACAAATATATATATGTGTGTGTATATATAAAGCAATACAAAAGCAAGCATATATATGTATTTATAAACTTCCATTTACAGAACACCCATTTTCAGGCAGAACATATGCTCTTTATTTTCTGGAAATAACTGCAAACATCTTTTAGGAGAGAATCTCGAAAAATTCCCACCATGCCATTGCTTCCCATCATACATATTCATGCTCAAACACCTTCTCTGGATTCCTCATTCCTCACTGCTATTCTCGGAGTCCTACATTTCAGAGATTGTCTAGCTCTCACACTCTGTTTTTTCCTCAAATCCTCCTTCACCCATTCCCAGACTTATGGTCCCTTCAGAGCTATGCATAGAACAATCTCCTTTCCCTTTTGCCAGGCAATATCCTTGTCCTCCAAATCTGCTGAAAACTTACCTTTCACTCAGCTGTACATCACTGTTTTCTTCTGCAGTACTGCTTCAATCTTCCTAGTGTGAACCTTTCCTGTCTGTCTTGCTTTTGTTTAATTTAGTGTTTAAACTCTTTAATGCAGCAAATTCATCTTTTCATGAATTTGTGAAGTGTCATGTACCTTACAAAAGTACTTTAATAACAGTATTGCAAATAAGCACCATGTCGTACCTTTCTATTCCATTCAGTTTATGACGATGCTTTCGGGACATTAAGAGTCCACCTCCCCAGGCAGCCTGGAAGAGAGAAAAAAAAGAGAAGATTCATTGTTTTGGAAAAGCCTAACGTATTTTAATTTACTCAGGACCTAGTAATAAATATTTTAATTCAAGACAAAACACATGTAAACAAAAATCCTAATTTGCCTGAATAATAGCACTTAATTTAGTTACTTACATCTACATGGAGCCAGAGGTTGTATTTTTCACATATATCTGCAATCTCCTGTATTGGATCAAAGGCTCCATATACTGTTGTGCCAGCAGTTGCATTTACAAAAAGAGGAATGTATCCCTACAATAAAAATAAAAAATATTAAATACAAACCCCAACCTCTTTCAGAAAAAAATGTAAGTGCAAATAATTTTAGAAATGTTGCTATCCCATTTTACAGCCTAAAAATGTTTTTCTTCCCATGTGAAAGGTACATATAATCAACAGTAGAAACTAACACATTGTATACATAGTAGGAGCAAACTCTGTTTTTATTGTACTGTAACTTCACATAATTTACTAGCCAGAAGGTAAAGAATATTATTTTGTATAATATCTTTCAGTGAGGAGATTCAAACATTCTAGTAGAAGACTGGAAACAGTCAAGTAAAGTTGAGACTTTTACAGCAGTATAATGGAAAATTAATTAAATGTGATTTGTAAGTTGTGATTTGAAGGCTTTAAGTTGTTCCTTTAGTTTTTATCTACTAATAAACACCAGAAAAAAGTAGAACAAAGCAATCCAAAACAAAAACAATAAATGTGGAAATATCAGATCAAAGTGAGACAATTTTAAATTAGATTAAATAAATGTGAGCTGCAATTTCATAGAGTGCCCAAATGTAATGAAGTTAAGAAATAAAAAAATAATAATCGTATTGCTCTAACTTTGGTGGTTTTATACAAAATTAATGGATTTTTCATTGATTCAAGAAATAACAATGAATGCCTCAAAAAATTAAACTTTCTGAGTATATTTACTAACACTGCAGCCTTGAAATCTATGGGAATTTTTAGGACTAAACTTCAATAGAATTTTTGATGGTTTTGGCTAAACATTAAAGTTGGATAAAAATAGGTTTAGTTTCATGCTTTCATACTTTTTTCCATATATTTCCAAATAGAAACTTATTTTTAAAAGTCATAAAATACAGATGTGGTTCAAGAGTCAAGAATACTTTGTTTTTAAACAGTAAATTGAAACCTTAGCAAGACATATAGATAATTCCCTAAAAAATACATTAATGTAAAATTAAGCAGCTGAAAACATTATTGTTGTAACATTTATATCATTATAATGTTCTCTTTTAATGTTAATCCCCAGCCTTCAAAGGGAGAGGTAATTTTACTAAGCTAAGCATTTAAGCACTAGTTTTTAAAAACACATACCTTTTGTTTTGCTTCCAAAATTTTTGCCTCCAAATCAGCTGGTATTATTTTGCCTCTGTAATTATTGTAAAAACAGAAAGACAAAGAAAATTAAAGAATGCATATGGAAATACTAGCTACAGTTGAAATAATTTAATAGGATTTTCTCAACAGGCCATTAACAACTTGACACACTGTACTGAACCAGTCCTTAAGCATAATACAACAAATTTAACAGATGAACACATTTGATACATGAAAACCTTAGCATTCATCCTACCTTTCATTGCATTTTATTAAAATCACATTGTCTGTTCCAAATCCAAGTGCAGCTCCAGCTTTCTTTATGGAGTAGTGACTCTGCAGCAAAACATACGCACATTTAATGGAGTGGTCGTTTAATGATGAAACATCTTCACAACATACATCAATAAATTAAGAATTAGCAGCATATTAAGCTCACATGTTCCGAGGTAAAGAGAACCAGTTTAGGGACTGCAGCCATGCCTTTGGTTTTGACTTCAGGGAAATACTTGTAGCGTGCAGCCATTATGCTGTACATGTTGGAGATAGCCCCTCCTGTTAATGAATAAATGAATGAATAATAAAATAGGGATAATGAGAAAAAAATGCATATTAGACCAAAGACATAGAAGTCTCATTTGCATTATGCAGTGAAAGTGACAGTGAACTATGTAAAAAATAAATCTCTGAAATGCACGGTCATCTGTCTAAACAGCATAGGGAGAGACCCTCTAGAAAGTCACACCATTAGAATTTCCTATCCATCATCTCTTTCAATTGCTAATATTTCGTAACACGTTCCTAAAAAGTTTGCTTTCATTGTGCTGCTTTTGCAGGACAACTTCTTGTTAGCAAGAATAACAGGAAGTTATCAAATTGTCTGAGGATGAAGAAAAGTTGCATTGATGGATTTATCCCATCTCACTATATACACAGAAGTAGATGCCTAAAAGGGAGATTTCTACAGCTAAGCTAGTTATCCTACCCTTCCTTACAGTCTGTTATGGGAAAGAGGCACTTTGCAGGCTATGATTCATCTAATCTATTTTGACACTTATTTTTAAAGAATGTGAATTGAGGGAAAGCACCTATTTCTCTTGGTTTACTGCTGAAAAGAGCCCAGGACAGTTAGCTCAGTTCTATGATGCAAACCCCAATATTAGCAATTTGAAGCTCACCCATAAAGTCTGGGATAACTTATTCCTCCAATATTTCTTCATCAACAAGAACACTGAGAAAGATCTGTATTTTTCTAGCAGGTGGGACTGGAGACAAAGCAAGTGTGCATTCCTGGATTTTATGCTGGCTGTTCCAAAAGGAGGTAGAATTGTCCTTCATCCTCTGAAACAGAATGGTGCCCTCTCCACCCCAAACCCAGAAATCTGGAGTTCTGCTGGGACATCCATATGGTCCACTCATGGGTCCATGACTTCCACATGGTTTACCACTCTTTTCTGCCATTGCTGACACTCTTTATATCACCTTCATGGGAAGACACTTTGTCTTGGTCTTCAGAAGCATACTTGTGAATCCAGTCAGATTATGTCCCAGATAATCTGGAATGTGGCCTTCTATGATGGAATGACAACATGAGTGGACAAGAGAAGAGCTACTGATGCTGTCTACCTGGACTTCTGTAAGGCCTTCGACATGGTCCCCCCACAACATCCTTCTCTCTAAATTGGAGAGAGATGGATTTCATGCGTGGACTGTTGGATGGATGAGGAATTGGTGGGATGGTCGCATCTGGAGAGTGGGTACTGGTCAATGGCTCAATGTCCAGATGGAGATCAGTGACAAGGGGTGTCCCTCAGGGGTCTTTACTGGGACCAGTACTTTTTAATATCTTCACCAATGACATAGTGGGATCAAGTGCACCCTCGGCAAGTTTGCAGATGACATCAAGCTGGGTGGTACAGTTGACACACCTGAGGGACAGGATGCCATCCAGGGGGAGCTGGACAAGTTCAAAGAATGGGCCTGTGTGAACCTCATGAGGTTCAACAAGGCCAAGTCCAGGCTTGGGGATGAAGGGATCGAGAGCAGCCCTGCCGAGAAGGACACCAGAAGTACTGGTGGATGAAAAGCTGGACATCAGCTGGCAATGTGAGCTCACAGCCCAGAAGGACAACCATATCCTGGGCTGCATCAAAAGCAGTACGGCCAACAGGTTGAGGGAGGTAATTCTTCCCCTCTGCTCTGGTGAGATCCCACCTGGAGTCCTGCATCCGGCTCTGGAGCCCTGAGCACAGGAAAGACATGGACCTGTTGGATAGGGTGCAGAGGAGGGCCACAAAAATTATCTGAGAGATGGAGCACCTCTCCTGTGAGGACAGGCTGAGAGAGTTGGAATTGTTCACCCTGGAGAAGGGAAGGATCCGGGGAGACCTTATTGCAGCCTTACAGTATTTAAAGGAGGCTTATAAGAGAGATGGTGACAAATTTTTAGCAGGGCCTGTAGCGATAGGACAAGGAGCGATGGTTTTAAACTCAAAGAGTGGAGATGTAAACTAGATAGAAGTAAGAAATTTTTCACAAGGAGAGTGGTGAAACAATGGCACGGGTTGCCCAGAGAGGTGGTAGATGCCCCATCCCTGGAAACATTCAAGGTCAGGTTGGATGGGGCTCTGAGCAACGTGCTCTAGTTGAGATGACCCTGCTCATGGCAGGGGGCTTGGACTAGATGACCTTTAAAGATTCTATGATTCTATGATAATATGTCCCAGAAAGTCTTTTGCTGACTGTGAGCCCAAATCCCCACTGACCATAAAGGAAGTCAGTACATGATTTCTGGAGCTACTGGTCAGCAGGAATTGTAGTTGCTGAGCACCTCCAGAAACGAAGTGCAAAAACAGTCTGCCTGACTATGTACCAGAGCTTGTAGTAATTAAAATGTTGTCCAGCCATGATACACAGCCATACTCAAAGATTTTTTTTTTCACAACTTTTTTGTGGGATGCTTGAACAAAGCATGTATTTCAGATAGGAAATTCCTACTTCTAAGTATCTGATGCATTGTTTTGTGTTGCAGATATTGTGGGCAATCAGACAACCTTATGTTCATTTTAACTTTTGAAGTCAAACCACCAAAACAGAGAGGAAAAACTCACCAGGTGAGAATATTCCATCACCATCTTTATTTGACCATCCAATAATCTCTCTCATCTTTCGAAGTGTTAATTGTTCCATGAGGACAAAAACAGGCGCAATTTCGTAGGTAAACCTGCATGGATAAAACAAACAAAACCAAACAAACAAGGTCAAATACAGATTCTAAAAACACACAATAAATTCCCAGTCTATGATTCTTTGTGAAAATGCTTAAGATTCCTAAAAGTTTTCCTATAAATTGAGGTTCTGATATTGCACCATTTCCCCAAGCAAAAATTCTCAGGAAGACAATACTGGTCAATAAAAACTGCAGTATTAGCTGTTTTGCAACTTTCTATATAGCCAACGTAAGACCTAATGCTCACCATAATAGTGATACAGACTGATGTACAAGATCGTACTGTAAAACATTTGTTTCCCAAAGTGCCAATTTCACACTTGTGGAGTAACATATAACCAAATCCTTATGAAAACAGTGAACTTCACTGAGCTAAACACAACCATAATTAGAAGTATTGAGCCAGGGCTTCAAAGTCTAAATACAATTAATTATGTGGATTTATTCTGTTGATGATCTCCAAGGACAACTTATTTCTACAATACCATGAGATCAATAACTGTCAAAAGTAATTATAAATGATGATTTTCTAATTATGTATTACAAAAAAACAAGTCAGCAGTCAACTATTGTATCTGCTTAATGAGGGCAAAAACCACTGCATAGCCTGGTATGCCCTGATGTCACAGACAGATATGTGGATGGAAAGTGACAGTCATACAACCATTTTTGGTGATCAAGGTACATGGACAAATTGCTACTGCTGTAAACAAATTCTGCTTGCTCTGTACACACACACACACACAAAAAAAATAAGGAAGAAAAGAGAAGCATAAAGAAACTAAACAATCAACCCATGATTTCCAAAGGAAGTTATAAGAATATGGCACCCTGACACTTTGGATCTGACTGATGCCTTCCACTTGAATAATTTCACCAAAACGTATGTGTTGTCTCTCTAATACTAAAATGACATTTTGAGAATAGGTATGGCAAACTTTAAGAAGACATGTGGTATGAAGAAGGGAACATGTCTGAAAAGCTTGTCTTTTATTTACAGCTACACTGGTTAGGTTTAATATTAATTTTTTTCTACAATCCTTATGTGTCCTTAGTCCATCAGAGAAACACCACCGCTATTTTTACAACATTCCTTTAAGATTAAACAGCATTTGTAATTTAATTGTTGTAATTGCTATTTTTCAGAAGCCAAAATACTGCTTATTTTGCTTTTATTATCCTTAGAACTGTCAGAGACTGACAGTTGCACACTGATCTTAAGTTTGTGTCCTGCCAGTATTTACAGAGAGACAAAATTAATAAACCAGTTGATGTCTCATAACAGTGGGGGGGGGTGGTATTTTGTTTTTAAGCACTGCAAGTCTAGGATATATTCCAATCTTTATTTAGGCAGAATGACCAACTGAAGTCAACAGGAACTCAGCAATGTATAGATCACTGTAGCCTAATACAGGATACATTTAAGCCGATATGATTTTTTCCACCAGTTTAAATGCATTTTAAATTTTGTCCTGAGACCTTTTACACTAATCCCTACATACTTCCCAGAAGACTTAAAGGCTTGTACAAAAAATACATAATGTTATGCAAGTTTTTTTGTATATAAGATTGCAAGTGTTCACATGGGGAATTTTGAATATACTTAAACCCAAGTAAAATAGCATTTATTTATTTTATTATGTAATTATTTTCTGAGTCTCCAAAGATCGACAAAGAAATAAGACTGCAGATGATTATAAATGATAAAGCCAATGCAGCTACATTAGATGATAGCTACTATTTTAAAATCACATCTTGCTAAAGTTCACTTATTTGTATTAAACGTAACTTCAGTTAAATTCAGTATTAAATGAAAAATTCAGTTAAACACAGAAATGATTTTTGTCTTGGAAGGAACTGTCCAACTTTAGAACCAATTTCCTGTCCAAAAAATGCTAATTGGACTTTTCGTACAGTTAAAACCTTTACAGATATTTCTATGAGTTAACTAAAACAGTCATAAGTCTCAGTTCTTTACTAAACAGAATAAATGAATGGGTCTTTTGGTAGTGGCCAGTCCTGACCTTTCACTTAAAGGCCAAATCATTTTTTCAAGCCAAATCATTCTAGCTACCTCTTTTCCTGTTTGCTAGTATGTGAAAAGCATTCTGAGAATAAACATAAAGCATTTTACATCATGTTTCTATGTTACATTTTCGTAAGCATAAATGCATAATACTGAAAATACCAATGTAACTCTCTTGTCTTGGCTAACAGTGGGCATAAAGAGAATTTCCAGATAACATTATCGCTTTCTAACTTCGGCTGGCTGCTGCATGTTGAGCGAACGCCCTGCACTAGAGATCCTTAGAGCTGGATGAATAACAGCAACTTCTGAAATTTCCACCCCAAAGACCTTACAATTAGTGATTGAGCTATGAATAGCACATTGATATATTATTTACAAGGCAATGTGGGAAGCTTATTATGTTTAATTTAATATATTATCTTCACAGTGACATTTAAGTAATATTTCCTAATGACAATTTAAAATTTTAAGAAAGCATAGATGTTGTGGTTACTCAAAACTCATTTGTGAAAGAAAACACTTATTTTTTAATTGTTCACAAATATTTTAAGTATTGTTTATAGATGAAAAAGAAAATATGGCAAAACATTCCCTACCATAATCCAGTGTTGTTTATGTGTTACATGCTTGTGCAGCTGAAATAGGTTAGAAAGGTTTCTAGGTAAAGGTCAGAACTTGCTCTTCTGTGCTGGAACACTGCTCAAAACAAGTAATATGTTCCCCAGAGATGATGTGGCTATTTTTAATAACCTTCTCTGACAGTTCTTTGAATCATATTTTACAAACATCTTGCTTTAACCTTACTTGCAATTACTGTGTTATTTAAAAGCACATCATGTTGACCTTGGTTTACTGAAAAAGGAGAGAGCAATGTATTATTTTGCATTTGCTAAACCTCATGCAAAGAAACAGATACTCAATTTTCATGCTTGCAGAGAAGTATTTTCAAGATATGTTCTTGTTTAAAGTATAAATTGATCAGAAACTAGCTTTACAGGACTAGCTATTTAATAATTTAATTTAAAACCAAACAAAGGCAAAAGCAGCCTAATTCTAAAAAAGTTACTCTTTCAGAACTGAGTGCTATGTTCTTAATAATGATGGCGATATTTCATAATACTATCACAGTCTGTCACACAGCTGAATTCTATTATGTCCTATCAGATTTGTGCAATTTCACTGATTACAAAAGGATAAGTAAGCTAGGATAATGAAGTTAGTCAAAGGAAAAGGGGCTTGCAAATGTGACACTGTCTGAAGTATGTCTTTGTCACAGAGAAACAGTATTTAAACAAATTTTTATTTTAGCAATGTAGTCAGATTTGTTTTCACTTTTAATTGTAGTGAAAACAAAAGAAAAAGCACTTTGCCATACTTGTTTTCTGATTAAAATGTATGTTGCTTGGTTTTCTTCCCAATCAGCTTTTAAATCTGAATGTCTCATACCAAATTTTAGCATACAGAGAACTAATTGAGAAGACAATTATTACAAAGAGCAGGCTGGTTTTGGCTCGAGCACCTTGTATATTTTTCTTTATTGCTAATGTCACAATCCAGGCATAGCTACACAGAACTACTAGTAATCAGCTATACTTAATGAACCATTTACTCAATGGATAGGCCAGTGAAAATATTGTTCATTTCCCAGTCTGCAGATACATTTCCTGTGTTCTGCCAGTTAGTAACAAACTACCCAAAACAGAGGTAGCTTTAGAGTTAAAAGATACCCAATACAGGGTACTACCAAAACAGAAGGCAGTCTGTTACCTGCCAAGTATTTGGACTCCCATCCAAATGATTTCTGGGCATATGCAAATTGATATACAAATAAAAACTGGCTAGAATTTTTTTGTTGTTTGGTGGTTGGGTTTTTTTCATTAATTACACTCTTTATTGCAAAAACTCAACAAAATACCTTACATTTACATCTAGCTTTCATTAATTTTGAGGTCAAGAAAAATTAGGGAAAGTTTCCTCATTGATATGCTCTAGAAAGAATATTTTACTTTCTCCATACTTCCATTTATTTATTTTCACACAACTTGAATTACTCTCAGACTGAGTAATTCCTTCACTATCATCAAAATAATTTTCAATGTTACATTTTTAATCATTTTGAAGACACACAAAAGCTACTTCTACACCAGCACATGGACAGGAGAAGGTGGTGCCCCAAACCTGCTACCTCTGAAGTCAACAGGAGAAAAGACAATAAAGTTTTACATATTTTGCATTCCAGTGTTAATATATGGATTGGTGCAGAATTACTCAGCCTAGAGACAAAGCTTAAAAAAAAAATCGGGAAAAGATAAAGAAGATTGGTCCAAGAGAATAAAAATAATTTCCTGTTATTATATTAGAATCAGTATGTTTTACTTACCATGTGCTCTGGGATATCTGCATTTCTGTTTATCAGAAATGTAAAACTGTTCAGCTATAATAATTTTCACTGTATTACTGCCACATTAAGAAAAATGAGATGCTTTTATTGAAGGCGCAGCAATTGGCATTTAAAGAAGAGAATTATACACGTCTATGACAATACATGTCTGCCATGATAGATGGCAGCCCCTCTAAGCACCAGTCACAGGCGCTGACGACAAGCCACTGCTTACATGTTTGTATTAGCCGTTGATGTCAACCACTCCCCAGCCAAGCCAATAATGTCCAATCCTGTGGACAGCTGATTGAAAAAGCGAGGGTGACCTGGAAAGGGAATTGAGAACAACTCAGAACAACTCCACCAGTATCTCTCAGGCTTCAATTTTAAAACATTTCAAATTTAAATCACTTAAACCGGCCAACTATTCTGACACAAACGGTGGTTGCGCACTCGTAACACACTTGCAGCGAAGTCTTCAAAGCAAGTCCTGCTCACGGGGAGACCGTTAAGCAACATCCACGGATGGCTTGTTACAAACTTGAAACCCCGCTTTAGAGGCCGCTCCTGCATGGAACCATTGCCGCTTAAATTAAAAGCGAGCCTCAGAGCCGACC